GTTGCCTTTGGACATAAAACTATGTAACTGTTTTTGTTTACCAAAAAACAAAACAAAGTTAAATCATAAGCACTCGCCTTATTAATTAATGTTGTCGCCATATCATAAACCATATTCAATAATTTCCCATGTTTTCATTCAAATTACATACTAGTATCTTATCAAATTTCTACAACTTTTTCTGTGACTTTTCCATCCATATTCTAAAAAAAAGGACCCTCATTGTTTGTTTGATCCAATCTCAACCTCGGGATTCGAACTCGTATTCTTAGGCTTACTCTTAGAGTCTCTCCACCTGAAATTACCAAAAAGCTCATCCATATCTTCAAGCGTCCTCCCTTGCGTCTCCGGCAAGAAAGTATAAAAGAAAACCCAAGCCACCGTCGCAATCCCTCCAAACAAGTAAAAAGCTCCTCCGGTAGTCATCGCTTTCGACATCGGAAGAAACCCCATGGATATCACACCGCTCGTAACTCTGTTCACAACCACACCCATACTCGATCCCTGTGATCTCAACCTCAACGGAAATATCTCCGAGGTATAAACCCAAGTTATCGGTCCTGCTCCGATCGAAAACGTAGCTACGTAAGTCATCACCGTCGCTATGCTTAACACTACAGCCCACATCACTTTCTTCTCTGTCTGACCAATAACCGTTAGAGAGGTTGCTAATGTAGCTAGAGATAGTACCATTCCTCCGACGCTTGTTAGAAGCAATGGTCGTCTTCCGATCCGATCGAGGAGGAAAGTTGCGACTAGGATGAACGATGTTTTCACGATTCCTACAGCTACAGTCGCTAGAAGCTGCTGGTGATCGGTTTTTAAACCGGCGGTTTTGAAGATCCGCGGCGAGAAGAGAACCACCGCGTCGATTCCTGAAGCTTGCTGGAAGAAATGGATTCCGATTGCGGCGATCATAACTCGACGTACTGCGGGTTTCGGACGGATTAGAAGCTCTCTCCAAACTCCTTCTCCATGACTGTTCTTCCTCGACACCTGCGAAATCGAGATCGAGAAATTTTGGAATCGCGAAATCGGATTCGATTCTTTGAAATCGATGACGGTTCGCGTACCTGAACGACGTCGTCGTGGCAATCAGCGGGAATTCCGGCGGCTTCTTTAATGTCTTCGAGTCGAAGAGCAGCTTCGGCAGGGGAATCAGAGGTTCTGTCGAGAACCTTTTTGGCTTCTCCGAGACGGCCTTGCATAACGAGCCACCGTGGAGATTCCGGCATAGCTAAAACGCCGAGGGCGAGTAGAACGGAAGGTACGGCTCCGATTCCGAGCATGAATCTCCATCCCAATTTCAGGGGAAACTTCGAGAAGGCGAGGTTCGATACATATCCGAGCATTATTCCGGCGTTGATAAACACCTGTACACGTCAGCATAAACTTTCTGCCACGTCAGATATTACTCTCTTTTTTCAAAAATTACGCACCAAACCTATCAAAATATCTATATTTATTTTGTGGCCTAATCGTTCGTTATATAATAAAGATGATGAACGAAGAAAAAGTCAACGATTTGTATCACTTAAAAATCAATGATAATCATTTCTACATAAAGAAATATAATTAACATCATATTCTTAATTATTATACGATATAAACTATAAAAATGCGATTAATTTGGAGAAACATTTGATTAACGTCTAATTAATTTTTGAATAATGATTTTATGAATATCTATATACCTCAGGGAAGGAGGTGAGGAAGCCGCGGGAAGATGCCGGAGAGACTTCGGCGGTGTAAACAGGTGCGATCATGAGAGCATAACCGACGCCGATTCCGGCGACGAATCTCCCGAACATGAGGAAAGCGTAGTTAGGAGCGAATCCCATGAGTAGAGCTCCGGCGAAGAATATAGCTCCGGCCAACACGATGGTGTAACGACGACCAATCCAGTCGGAAGTTTTACCGGCGGCGCAAGATCCGATAAGTGAATAAATGTTCAGGCTTCCGGCGAGAATCCCGATTTGAAGATCACTAATCTTTAAATCTCTTTTTATATAAATCATTGCTCCACTCATCACTCCTATATCTGCAAATGACAAACAAACAAAAAAAACTTTGTTTTCTTAATACTCTAAAAATATCTAACAATTAGAAACAGAGTAAGTAATTAATTAGAAAATCGATATATGAACAATTAGTAGTGACCGGAAAGAGATTAACGATAAAACTAACCATAACCGAGGAGGATAGAAGTCATGGAAGCTAAGATTGCACACGCGAAAGCATACTTGTTCCTCTTTGGTTTCACCGGTGGACCTAACTCCGGAACATGTTTTGTTGCCGGTGCCGGAGAAGGGACTGCTTGGTTTTCCGGCGTGAAACCTGTCATTTAGAAAGAGAGTGGAGGGAGAGAGAGTTGTGAGGATTGAGTATACTAACAACAACTTGTGGTAATGAGCCGAGTCTTCTTAAATAGACGTGTGTCTGTATTAAGAGTGTCTCATGGAAAGGGTATATTCGACCGAGATTATGGGAAAACTGCATTTGCATGTTTCATTAGTAACAAAACAAAAATATCAGTACTGGAACGGCAAACTAATGGCACATAAATTTCATCTTTTTTTTTAGTTTTATATTGGAGTACAAAAATATCAGTACCAAAAGATGACAACCACAATTAAAATTCTGTATGGCTTAAAGGTAATTTCGTACAAAGGCTACTTGTTGTCCATGTGAGCATGTTGACTATTTTTGTCGACTTGATCTTGAGGACTGAACGCATAAAACAGCTCAAGTTATGTTATTTATTTCAATATTTAATCGTTTTCCTTCTGTTACCTAATGGCATCATTTTTTTTATAGAATACACACTCATCGAGATAAGTAATATATAATGTGTCATGATATGTGCTATAAGATAATTAATATACACCAATAAACTATAGTTTACACCACCAATAGTTTACGCTATGATTCGGATCAATGACATTGGATATAATATTTATATTATCAAACGCATCTTTATCAATTGCGTAGTTTCCTTATAAAGTTTTTGTCATACTCCGAATGAACACAGTACAGGGCGGAAGAGGTGCGATACTCCACAAATAGTAACAAAA